TATATGGTAGGTGAACGTATATGGAAACGGAATTGGAGAAGGGTCTTATTTGTTTGGGAGAACTCTGTTTTGCGGGGCCTGGTGGCAGAAATTGAAGGAACAAAACCAAAGACAGGCATGGAGGATCGATAGCTGTGGAAAGGAGAAACAAATTTTCAATGTTCTGTACAGTTAGCATATTGTGTAGTACTAAATCAGGCAAGGAATCATCAAGTATACCTGGAGGACAAAGAGAACTTCTGAAATATGATGTGGAAGAAAATGGTGCCTACCAAGTTGGTAGCTTTTGATCGGAGGGTGTTACAAAATAGAATTCAGACAAAGGAAAACCTAAGGAAAAGAGGCATTCTGGGCATGCTAGAGGATGGCTTGTGCGCACGTGTTGTGTGGTCAACAAGAGGAAAATACAGATCATTTGTGGTTTTCCTGTAAAATAGCATGGGAAACATGGACAAAATGTCTTCAATGGTGCGGAATTTCGATGGCAAGTCCTTTTGATGGGAACAAAACTTCTGACAACACGTGGGCCTGGCACCCAAAAGAAAGGTGGAGGGAACAATGAGGTACCATCTGGTTTGCAGTGATATGGACCATTTGGGAAGGACGGAATCAAAAGATATTCAGCTCGGATGAATTTAATCAAGAAGAGATAGTGGAACTGGTAAAGTATAGAACCTGTTGGTTCTACCCCCTCGAATCCCGGCCCTGCTGCTGCAGGTGGCGTCTTTAGAGGCCATTCGGGATCCTGGGTTCTTGGTTTTGCTTGACGGGTGGGCATTACTTCGAGCCTTGCGGAGGAATTCTGGGGGATACGTGATGGCATCCACCTTGCTTTCCAACATCTGTTTCATAATCTCGTTGTGGAAATGGCTTCTCTTGTAGCTTTCCAGCTTTTGTCTAACAATTCTTGCAGCAATCACCCACTGTCTGCTTTGATTTTGGACTGTAGGTAATCCTTTTGAAAATCCCTCAAGTTCTGCTTCGTCACGTAATCAGACAAGCTAATGGCTCTAATTAATGACCGTCTTGCTGCTTCTGGACATGGACTCATTCATGATCTTTCTGTCTTTAATTGTTGCCCTAATGATCATTTGATGGACTATTATGCAGACCTCAACGGCACTGAGTTCCCTAGCGGGTAGTTCTTCTGTACTTTTATTTATGTTTATCTAATGTGTTAGAAAATTGAAAAAGAAGGAGAAATATTTGAAGAAAAGTTTATTATTTTTTTAAATGATACTGTATGTACAATGACTTATATATAGGTGTTTACAAAGAGAATATTTTGAGGTATAAAATATATAAAGAGGATATTTTAAGATATAAAATACTTACAATAAATGTGAATATAATCTAAATTATTGTGTTCATATCTTAACATTCCCCTCAAACTCAAGTTCAAACTCAAGGTGGTTGTGATGAAACCAATTTGAGTTTGGAAAGAAGAGTACAAAAGCATTTAGGAAAATGAGCCTTAGTGAAAAGATCTGCTGGTTGATCAATGGAGCCAATAAAAACCAAATGAACAGTTCCTTGTGCAACATGATGGCGAACAAAGTGACGGTCAACCTCAATGTGTTTAGTGCATTCATGGAAGACATTATTATGAGTAATCTGTATGGTACTCTAATTGTCACAATAAAGATTAGTAGTAGGCGGTTGAGAAACACCAATATCTTTTAATAACCAACGTAAATTAAGTAACTCTGATGTGGTGTCTCTAAGTGCTCGATATTCAGTCTTTGTGCTAGAATGTGATGGAACTGTTTACTTCTTGCTACGCCAAGAGATTAAGGAATCACCAAGGAAAAGACAATATCCAATGGTGGATTTACAATCATTAGAGTCTTCAACCCAATTAGCATCAGAGTAAGCACGGAGTTCAAGAGATGAATGAGTAGAAAAGTGAAGTCCATGAAACATGGTACCTTTAATATATCAAATAATGTGAAGTACTACTGCATAGTGAGTGGATCAAGGCGTAACCATAAACTGACTAACAACATAAACTGCATAAGTTATGTCTGATCGTGTTGTAATGAGATAAAGCAAACTTCCAACCAACTGTCTGTAATGAGTAGGATCAGCTAATGGAGAACCATCCATGGATGTAAGTCGAACATTGGGCTCAAGAGGAGTAGATGTAGTCTTACTGTCAGTGACTCCAGCTTTAGATATAAGATCAAAGGCATATTTTGTTTGAGAGAGAAGATAACCATCATCAGAAAAGGTGACCTCAAGGCCCAAGAAATAGCTCAAAACACTAAGATTTTTCATCTCAAACTTATGACTAAGAAATTGCTTAAGATCATGAATACCTGAAATATCATCCCCATTAATGATCATATCATCAACATAAAGAAATAGTAGAACCATAACAAGATTAGTCTTGCATATGAATAGTGCAGTATCATGAGGACTAGAAGCAAAACCAATTCCTGATGGTGGTACTAAACTTCGGAAACTAGGCTCGAGGTGCTTATTTCAAACCATACAAAGCTCGCTTCAATCAGTAAACTTTGTTTAGAGGATGCTTAAGTTTAGGAGGTGGTTTCATGTAAACTTCCTCTACAAGATCACCATTTAGAAAGGCATTTTTCACATCCATCTAAAATAATTTCCATCTTTTTGCAGCAAGAAAAGCAATCAAACTACAAATTGAAGTAGGATGAGCAATAGGTGCAAACGTTTCCTCATAATCAATCCCATATTCCTAAGTAAATCCTTTAGCAACCAAACGAGCCTTGTAACGTTCCACGAAACCATTAGATCGGGTTTTGATCTTGTACATCCATTTACAAACTATTAGAGGCTTTCCAATAGGAAGATCAACCAAATCCCATGTACAAGTTTTGTCAGGAGCTTGTAATTCATCTTGCATAGTTTGCTGCCAAAGAGGGTTAAAAGACGCCTCTTGGTAGGATTGAGGCTCATGTAAAGAGGTAATAACAAGAAAGCAATGATAATCACGAAGATAGCTAGGAGGATTTCTTACCTGAGTAGGATGACTTGAAGGTGGATTAAGGATCTCATTTTTAGGCTCAAGATCAACAGGGTTAGATCTAATAGGTGATACAGAAGAGGTAAGGGAAGAAGACTCAGCATTGTCTAATACATTACCAGCAGGCAGAACATCTTCGATAGAACTAGGTGGAGCATGTGGAGAGGTATCATGGAGCTCATCAAATGTATCTGCATTAGAGTCACTAGGAAATAGCTCGATAGAAGGGTTAGTAAAAAGTGGAGGTTGATCAAAAGATGACACCTAGAAGTTTGATAATGAAGAAAACATAGTGTGTTCCCGAAAGACAACATGACGTGAGACTCGAAGTTTTTGTGACATAGGATCCCAACAACGATATCCTTTATGTGTAATCCCATAACCCAAAAAACAACATAATCAAGCTTTAGGCTCTAACTTATTATGTTCATGAGGTGGAAGAAGAACAAAACAAGCACAACCAAAAACCTTAAGAAGATCATAGGCAGGAGGAATACCATGCAAACATTCATATGGAGACTTATTATTGATGATCGATGATGGAATCCAATTAATGAGATAAACAGTTATAAGAGTAGCTTTACCCCAAAATCGCTTTGGAGAAGAAGATGAAATGAGCAAAGCACGAACAGAATCAAGGATGTGTCTGTGTTTACGTTCGGCTCACCCATTTTGTTTAGAAGTGTAAGGATAAGATTGCTGTGCCAATGTGCCTTGTTCTTTCAAAAAGGATTGAAGTTTAGTACTAAGATATTTCGTGGCATTATCAGTTCTCAAAACTTTGATAATTTTAGAGAACTGGGTTTTAACCATGGTAGCAAAATCAATATAAATTTGTGACAACTTATAGCGATTTTTCATAAGATATATCTAGGTAAAATGAGTATGACCATCAATAAATAACACAAAATACCTGGAACCCCGCATGATAGGTGTCGAAGATGGACCCCAAATATTAGAATGCATGAGATCAAAAGAAGCAACAGAAAGAGAATGACTACTAGTAAATGATAAAGTTGGTTGTTTTGCAAATTGACATGACACACAATGCAAAGATTCATTTGGAATAGATCCTAATAAACCACGAGAAATAAGAGGACGGAGTTTACCGTCCAAACCGTGAGTGCCATAAATGAAGAGGAGAAATATTAGTAGCAACACAAGCTTGGAAGATTTGTTGAAAATAAGCAATAGTTGAAGACATGTGATTACAACAACCAGAATCAAAATACCAAGGTTTAGTACCTAGCGCAGCAAATAAGGCAGTAGGAGCATTAAGAAGATTTAATATCACATATTTTAGAGATTTAGGGTTGATAATAGGTTGGTTTATCATCTCTTTGGCAACCATTGCAGCAGCAAGATGAGTCACAGTTCTTTCATAACTTGCCATAAAATCAGTAGAGCTCACAATACTGAAGAAGTCTCTAAAAATATGAAAAAATAAATGCCAAGATAAAAAATACAACTCAATAAGATACCTCATAAAAGGCGTGAGAATTGAGAATAAACAATCCAATATGCAGGAGAAGAGAACTTGACGACAAAGTTTCAAATTTGGAATAGATTTGAAAATCCAACTCAATAACCAAGCAGTGAGAGCTTATATCTTTGATACCATGTTAGAAAATTGAAAAAGAAGGAGAAATATTTGAAGAAAA